GATCGGACAGCGTCGCGGATTCTCCAGAGTGGGTTCGAGATCGTCTTTTGTTTCTCGTATTTTTTTCTGTTTACATCATGTATTGCATATACCGTTACTTATGACGTTACTTCTTATATTATTATCGTTTTTGTTTATTTGTTTAGGTATTCTGTCTTTGGTTTTGTATTTAAAGTAATTAAATTAGATATAGGTTAAATATTATGAGGTAGTAATTAAAGTTTCTGCATATTACCTGTCCATTTTTAGCAACCAATGAGAATAATCCCCTTTGTGTAGATTAATGAATTGGAATATGTATCATAATTACATTTTTATTAGCTTTCAACAATTTCTTAATTTATTTAATTTATGTAGTGTACATGTGGTTACATTTTGTACTTTGGATAATTTTTATTTTTTTGGAATGTCATCAGCTGGCCTGCTATTATTTACAAGAAAATTTCAAATACCACATGGAATAGAGTCATAGGGAGAAAATTATTCATTTCACCCGCATATATATGCAAAATAAAAAAAAACAACTGATATTAGGATGCCAAGTTACCAGATTAACGATTAAGTACCAGCGGTTATGATTTAAAATGGCGGTTAGGTTAACAGCCAATTTCATTGTTGTTTTTATTTTTTTTCACACAGAGAGACATAGAGAAACTGAGCCTTTTGTACGACTGTGACGGTTTCACGACAGGGACTGTGACCACTCCAGCACCTCCTGTTCGGCCCCCGTCACCTGGTATTCTCTTTTTTCTGTCTCTTTTCTCTGTCAGTTTGGCTGTCTTGCGTCTCTCTCTCTTTCGGTCTTTCCCTCTCTCCCTCTCTCTCTGTCTCTTTGTCTCTCTGTGTTTTATTCTCTTTCTCTCTCTCTCCCTCTTTCCAGCTCTCCCTGTCTCCCTCCCTCCCTCTCTATCTCATTTTCTCCCTCTCCCTCTCCTCTCTCTCTCTCTCTCTCTCTCTCTCTCTCTCTCTCTCTCTCTCTCTCTCTCTCTCTCTCTCCTCTCTCTCTCTCTCTCCCTCCTCTCCTCTCCCTCCTCCCTCTCTCTCTCTCTCTCTCCTCTCTCTCTCTCTCTCTCTCTCTCTCTCTCATTTCACTCTCATTCTCTCTTCTCTCTCTCCTCTTTCCTTCTCTATCTCCTTTTTCTCCTCTTCCCCCTCCCTCTCTCCCTTTCTCTTCCCCGCGACCATGTGTTGTATTGTTATCCGTATTTTCATAAGGAATATTACTTTTAATCATATTCACTTAACCTAAACTATTTTGATATCAAGAAAAAGTTAATACTAATTACAATTTTGATTTCGAAAAAAAGAAAAAAAAAAAGTAGTGTATCTTATCTTTTTTAACCTAATTCTTGGTCACAGGCGAGTGCGAAGACAGCCATAAGCACTGCAGTACTTGGGCGAAAGACGGAGAATGCGAGAAAAACCCGGATTGGATGTTGAGCAACTGCGCAAATTCGTGTAAAAATTGCGGTAAATTTTGGATGGGATTTTGTTGTTGCTAATGGGTTTTAATACGTTGTTGTATAATGGGGTTTACACGTTTGTTTGTAGGTAATGGAGGTTTAAACGTTTGTTGTAAGTAATGGAGGTTTTACACGGTTTTTTTCTTACAGTGTGAGAGAGATTTTAGAATCATGTTTATCGGTCTTTATATATTTATATCGGTTTGTCATTTGTCTCTGTCGTTTTTTGTTTATCTATCTGTCTATAATGTACATGTATTATTGTGTATATCTACCAATAGTGTCATAAAAAAAAAACTCAAAAATTATCAAAACAAAAAACACATCCATACCAATTCCTCTCCACAACACCTATACAAATCCCTCATAAATCTTCATTCCTTCCCCCCGTCGATTTAATAAATCTTCGATACCCCTCATAAACCTTTATGCCTTCATACCCCACCCCCAATCCCTCATAAATCTTATATCCTTCATACCCCCGCTCCCAATCCCTCATAAATCTCATACCCACTGCCAAATCTCTCATAAATCTTTATACGCTTCATACCCCCCCAATCCTGCAATTAAATCTTTTACGCTTCAGTACCTTCCCCCCACAATCCCTTCATAAATCTTTATACCTCATACTCCCCTCCGCAACCCTCATACAATCTTTATGTCCTTCGATACCCCCTCCATTCCTCATAATCTTTATGCTTCATACCCCCACTCCCAATCTCCTCATAAATCTAATTACCTTTCATACCCCACCACTCCCTCAATCCACTCATTAAATGTCTATATAAACTTCATACCTCCCCACAATCCCTCTATAAACTTTAACCGTTCATAGCCCCCAATCCTCATAAATCTTTATAACCTTCCAATAGACCCCATATCTCCCCAATGGCCTCAAAATCTTTATACGCTTCAATACGCCGCATAGCCCCCAATCACGCCAATAAATCTTATACTTCTACCCCGCCCTCCCGATCCCTCATTTAAATTCTTATACCTTCAACCTCCCTCAATCCCTCACAATCTTATATCTCTTCATTACCCCCAATCCCTTCATAAATTCTTAACCTTTCATACCCCCCCCCTCGCGATCCCTCAAATATCTATATACCTTCATACCCGTCCCCGATTCTCGCTCAATAAATCTAATACACTTCATTACCTTCCCTCCATCCTCAATAAATCTATATAGCCTTCACTCACCCCCCCCCTCAAATCCTCATTGAAATCTTTAACCTGTCAATAACCCTCTTCACGCCCCATTCCTCATAAATCTTTATACCTTCATTACCCTCCCAAATTCCTCATATAATCTTTATACCTCATACCCCCAACTCCCTTCAAAATCTTAATTACCTTCATACCCACACCAGCCTCCTCTCAATTCCCGTCTGAATCCTTATACCGCGTCATACGCCCCCACCAATTCCCTCATAAATCTTGATACCTTCAGTACCTCCCTCGAATGCCCTCATAAATCTTATACTTATACCCCCACCATTCCGCGCAATCCCTCATAAATCTTTATACCTTCATACCCCCTCTCCCTCAATCCCTCATAATCGTTTATACCTTCATACCCCCCCCAATCCCTCATAAATCTTATACCTTCATACCCCCAATCCTCCATAAATCTTTATGCCTCATACCCCCCACAATCCCTCATAAATCTTAATACCTTCATACCCCCCCCCCACAATCCCTCAAAATTTAATTACCTTCATACCCCCCCCCATCCTCATAAATCTTTATGCCTTATACCCCCCTACCCCAATCCTCCATAAATTTTATACCTTCATTACCCCGCCGATCCGTCATAAATCTTTTATATCCTCATACCCCTCCCAATCCCTCATTCTTTATACCTTCATACCCCCCCAATCCCATAATCTTTATAGATCCCTCAAAATCTTTAACCCCCATTCCCTCATAAATCTGTATACCTTTCATATCCCCCCCCCATCCCTCATAAATCTTTATACCTCAATACCCCATCCCCCATCCGTCATAAATCTATATACCATACCACCCCCCCCCCAATCCTCATAAATCTTTATACCTCATACCCATACCCACCCAATCCCTTCATAAATCTTTATACTTTCATACCCCCCAATCCTCATAAATCTTTATACCTTCCCCCACAATCCTCATAAATCTATATAAGCCTTCATACACCATCCACCAGCAATCCCTCCATAAACCTTGTTACATCACTTCCTACGCCCACCACCGCGATCTCCACAATCTCACTCATAATCTTAGACCGTCATACGCTCCCGATTCATTTTCTCTTAAAAAACCACTCCAATTCCAACAGGTTCAAGTGTAAATGACACGACATGTTCTGCAAGGAATGAGTCAGCTGGGGGAATGCACGAAGAACGCCCCATACATGAGTCTTTTTCTGCAAGAACTCGTGTGGTGTTGTGACGATCCAGGTGGTTTGGCTTTCTGATTTGTCATTTGGTTTTTGTTTGTTATTGTGTTATTGTGTTGTTGTTGTTGTTGTTGTTGTTATTATTATTATATATTATTCTTATATTATTATTATTATTATTATTATTATTATTATTATTATTATATTATTATTATTCGTTGTTGGTGTATGTTATTATTCATTATCATTGTTTTTGTTCTGTTATTATTGCAGTTATTGTTATTGTTATCAATGTTTTTTATATACTTACTATTATTTTTATCATTATCATTATTTTTAGGTCTGTTTATTATTGCAGTTATTGTTATATCATTGTATTAATTATTATCACTGTTATTTATCATTATCATTATTTTTTATTATCATTGTTATAGGCTATTACTTATAGCTGGTATTTGTAGTGGTAGTAAGTAGTAAAAGTATCTACTACTACTACATTGCTATCTATAAAGCTATTAGTATTAGTATTGTAGTTAGTAGTGGTTAATAGTACTACTACTATTGTATCATATTTATATCATCATATCATTATTATATTACTATTATCTAAGTTTTATGATATTACCATAACAATATTACTTTCTTATCATGATTGTTCTCTTTATCATTATTGCACAATTGTTTCATAATTATCATATCATTATGTTATTTATTATTATTTATAATTATTCATTTTTTGTATAACCATCAATATTGTTGTTATATTAGTATCATCATTGGTATTATTATCATTATTATGTTTCATATTCATATAGTATTATAATTTCTATTTTAATTGTGTTATTATCATAATAATATTATTGTTATTATCCTTTTTATTACAATTATTATCATTTTAATTGCCATATTCATAATATTATGTTATTATTACAGTAATTGTTATCATTGATATTTTATAATCTGTTATCATTAATCATAATCATTGCTGTGTTTATTGTTGTCATTTTTATTGTTTTCCTTGCTATTATATTTGTTATTATCGTCATTAGCATTGTTGTTATTATTGTTATAATTATGTTCATATATTCATAATGCTATAATCGTTATTACTTTTATTGTTATGTGTCATTATTTTTTGCAATTTTGATTTATTTATTTATGTATTTATTATTATATATTATATATTATTATATTTAGATATTTATTATCACAATTACTGTTAACCATTGTTTTGATATTTTGAATTATTTTAATTATCATTTTTACTATCGGTATATTATTATCATTATTATTGTTTTTATTATTTTAATCATATGTTGTTGTAGTAGTCATCATTATCATAATTATTATCATTTATTATTATCATTAATCATTCTTGTCATTACTATTATTATAATCTATGATTATGATCATGATCTGTTTATCATTAACATACTGTCATTTATATCATTATCATTATCATTATACAATAACTTCTCCTACCTTCCCCCCCCCACCTCACCAGATGACTTCAATCTTTTTTTTCTCTTTTAATCCACTTTCATCATTTTTTTAACCCAACTTCCCCATACTAATCCACATTTCTCCTCCTCCTCCTTCCCTCCTCCCCACCAACCAACACCAGAACCAGAACCAGAACAAGGCCAACGAAGCCCAAGAAATGCAAGAACCAAAACAAGCACTGCAAGGAATGGGCGTCGAACGGCCATTGTCGAGTGAACCCTGCATACATGCTGGACAAGTGCAAGAAGCGTGCAGGTGTGTCGGTAATTCGCGATCTGGCAACCGAATCTGAGGCCGTTTTCTATGTTATTTGGAGCTTGTTTCCACGTAATTACCTGTTAAGATTTTCAGTGGGCCATTCGCTGGGGAAAAAGTAATATACTTTATATTATAAATATATATATATTAAGTATATATAATATATATATATAATATATTATATATACATAATGTACATATATATTATATATCTATATATCTAGCATCTATATGAGAATGCAAGTATATATATTTACATAAAAAATAATATATATATATATATTATATAAGATTATAATATAGTATATACATATTACATATACATATATATATTTGGTGGTGTGGTGTTAAAGTGTATACTACATATACATATTGATTTTTATATACATTATTATATTTGTATATATATCATTTATATTAATATAATATATTATATATTATATATATATATAATAATTATATATCATTTTTGTGTGTGTGTGTGTGTACATGTATATGATGTACATACCTATCTATATATTTAGATATATATCTAATACACACACGGACACACACACACACACACACACACCACACACACACCACACACACCACACACACACACACACACACACCACACACAACACACACACACACACACACACACACACACACACACACACACACACACACACACACACACACACATCACACACACACACACAACACTCACACAATATATATATATATATATATTATATATATATATATATATTATTATATATATATATATATGTATGTAATGTATATGTATATATATATATATAAATATATATATATATATATATATATAAATATTATATACATACATTAGATATATGTATTTAAATAGACTATACATATATATATATATATTATATATATATATATATATATATATATATAATATATATATATATATATATATATATATATATATATAATTATTATATATATTATACATATTTTATATTGCGTTATTTGCTCGTGAGAGCTGGTTACTTCATCAGTAAAGAATGAATATTTATCTCGTCAACGGATTTTTATTCCCTTCCTGTCATTTCTGTCTCCCTGGAGGATCCTGAACAACGCTTCCATGTTTGGTTGCATCACGAAGCAGTTTTGTAATCTATGTAAAGAGAGATATTCCTTTGGGTTGCAACACTGGGAAAATCCATGATAAGTAAGCACTTATAATGTATGTGTGGTATGTATACCACACCGCACACACACACACACGCACAACCACACGCCACAGCATGCGCACACACATGCACACACACACACACCACACACGGCACACTCACGCACACACACACACACACACACACACACACATATTGTGTGCTTGTGGTGTACTAAAATCAGCTTAGCAAAATTCTAAACCATCTATCTATCTACAACTAAACCACATGAACCTTTAATACACATACACGACATTTAGTTAACTTTTAGGCCATGAATACCTTTATAATACAGAACAAGAATATGTTATTAGCACCTTTTTTGACACTAAATATGATGCCTCAAGCCATTACTCTATGTAAATATGATGATAAGTTCTAAGCCTATATTTAGACACTATAAGACATGATCTACATATTTAGTTTCAGACACCATAATTATACTTAATTGATTAATAGTAAGTTATGATGAAACATGAATGCCAAAATGAGATAAGAAAGAAGAAAAGAAACGAAAGGGGAATTGATAAAGCATAAGACTATTATTCCATGGGTAAATCATCGCAAAACAAAGTAAAACAAAGCGAAACTTACAGACGGAACCAGTGCAAAAACTTTTTTACATTGATCAAAACGCGTCAGCTACTGGCAGGAAAATCTAGCACATTTATTTTCTTGTCATTTATTGCTTACTAGCAGGAAAAATCTCTCGAAAAAGATGCTGCCAACTGGTGCCGTAACAGGAAGCAGCAAAGACGAATAAGATAGTTTATGAAGAAAAAAATCCATAACAGCAGTTGAAATATTGGTATAAAACAATAAAATCTTCATATTTGTAGCATGATAATAATGGGTAACAGATAAATACGAATAACTTATGTATAAAGCATGTAGACAGAAAGTAATTATCTTTTTTTTAATAACGCAAAGGGTACTGGGAAGAAATAAATGAAGAAACTCATTCAACATCATACAGCACAACCCTCCAAGACAGATATTTTTTTCTTACATTATGTAAAATAGTGATGTAATGGTGATTATAATAATAATGCTAGTTTTTTTTTATAATACTAATCATACTATTACTGCAAATAATATAAAATAAACAAGTACAGTAAATAACAAAGTTTATTGGAAGAAGTCGTGATAGCACAGCAGAAGGATCTGGAAAAGACCGCAAACAGCGCGGCATAAAACAGGGGAACTTTCGGCAGACGAAGCACCTGCGCAAGGTATATGTCTTCTAGCTTTGAAGCTGCATTGTGAATTAGGCTGCAAATAATGCAGAAGAACATTTCAACATCAAGAAGAAAGCCACATCCGTTTGCGCAGAGATAGTAGTAACAGTTCTAACAACTTTTGCAGGTTTAGAGAGTAGGCGCAAGTATCCCACTAGTAAGAGTACAGAAATTCATCGGCTGGTGTCTGGAGTGCAGTTTTTAATACATATTCCTAGTAAAATCATGAAGCGCAGACCCCCAGAAAATGCTTGACTTTTTGAGACAATTTACAACACAAACAAAACGAATTAGCTACGTTAAAATACACCGCTTTAACAACTTTTGATACCCACAGCCATGGTATCGGTGGTGTAGTGGTGTTCTCTTATCTCTTGGTACGCTATTCTCAATTTCTCTGATATATCTTGATATTGGTGATGATTGGCTAGATGCAACATGTTCGAATTAATGATTGTATTGCAAATAATTTTTATTCCCATAACCCAAACTAATTATAACCCTAATTATTACTAAAGAATTCATTCAAAATCGATTCCAAACTAATATAACCCAATTAATTACTAAAGAAATCACTTCATCCCAAATATCGATTCCAACAAATAAACCTATTAATTACTAAAGAATCATCTTCATCCCAACCTATCGATTCCAAACTAATTATAACCCCTAATAATTACTAAAGAATCATCTTCATTCCAACCATCGATTCCAAATAATTATAACCCCTAATTAATTACCAAAGAATCATCTTCATTCCAACCTATCGATTCCGAACTAATTATAACCCTAATTAATTACCAAAGAATCATCTTGATCATCTCATCCCAACCTATCGATTCCAGCTAATTATAACCTAATTAATACCAAAGAATCATCTTCATTCCAACCTATCGATTCCAAACTAATTATAACCCTAATTAATTACCAAAGAATCATCTTCATTCCCAACCTATCGATCCAAACTAATTATAACCCCTAAATTAATTAAAAGAATCACTTCATTCCTAACTATCGATTCCAAACTAATTATAACCCTAATTAATTACTAAAGAATCATCTTCATTCCCAACCTATCGATTCCCAAACTAAATTATAACCCCTAATTAATTAAGAAAGAATCATCTCATTCCAACCTATCGATTCCAAACTAATTATATCCCCTAATTAATTACTAAACAATCATCTCATCCCAACCTATCGATCCCAAACTAATTATAACCCCTAATTAATTACGAAGAATCATCTTCATTCCCAACCTATCGATTCCAAACTAATTATAACCCTAATTAATTAGAAAGAATCATCTTCATTCCAACCTATCGATTCCAAACTAATATAACCCCTAATTAATTACCAAAGAATCATCTTCATTCCCACCTATCGATTCCAAACTAATTATAATCCCTAATTAATTACCAACATCTTCATCCCCTAACCTATCGATTCCAAACTAATTATAACCCCTAATTAATTACCAAAATCATCTTCATCCCCAACCTATCGATTCAAACTAATTATAACCCCTAATAATTACTAAGAATCATCTTCATTCCCAACCTATCGATTCCAAACTAATTATAACCCCTAATTAATTACTAAAGAATCATCTTCATTCCCAACCTATCGATTCCAAACTAATTATAACCCTAATTAATTACTAAAGAATCATCTTCATTCCCAACCTATCGATTCCAAATCTAATTATAACCCCTAATTAATTACTAAGAATCATCTTCATCCAACCTATCGATTCCAACTATAATAACCCCTAATTAATTACTAAAGAATCATCTTCATCCCAACCTATCGATTCCAACTAATTATAACCCTAATTAATTACAAAGAAATCTTCATTCCCAACCTATCGATTCCAAACTAATTATAACCCCTAATTAATTACTAAAAACAATCTTCATTCCCAACCTATCGATTCCAAACTAATTATAAACCCCTAATTAATTAAAAAGAATCATCTTCATTCCCAACCTATCGATTCCAAACTAATTATATCCCTAATTAATTACTAAACATCATCTTCATTCCAACCTATTCGATTCCAAACTAATATAAACCCCTAATTAATTACCAGAAAATCATCTTCATTCCCAACCTATCGATCAAAACTAATTATAACCCTAATTTATTAAGAAAATCATCTTCATTCCAACCTATCGATTCCAAACTAATTATAACCCAATTAATTACCTAAGAATCATCTTCATTCCAACCTATCGATTCCAACTAATTATATACCCTAATAATTACTAAAGAATATCTTCATTCCCAACTATCGATTCAAACTAATTATAACCCCTAATTAATTACCAAGATCATCTTCATTCCCAACCTATCGATTCCAAACTAATTATAACCCCTAATTAATTATAAAAGAATCATCTTCATTCCCAACCTATCGATTCCAAACTAATTAAACCCCTAATTAATTACTAAAGAATCATCTTCATTCCCAACCTATCGATTCCAAACTAATTATTACCCTAACATACGATTAAAGAGAAAGAATCATCTTCATTCCCAACCTATCGATTCCAAACTAATTTAAAACCCAATTAATTAAAGAATCATCTTCTTCCAACCTATCGATTCCAAACAATTATACCCCTAATTATACTAAGAATCATCTTCATTCCAAACCTATCGATTCAAAACTAATTATAACCCCTAATTAATTACTAAAGAATCATCCAACTATCGATCAAACTAATCCCCTAATCTAAAGAATCTTCATTCCCAACTATCGATTCCAAACTAATTATAACCCCTAATTAATTACCAAGAATCATCTTCATCCCAACTATCGATTCCAAACTAATAATAACCCCTAATTAATTACTAAAATCATCTTCATTCCCAACTATCGATTCCAAACTAATTTAACCTAATTAATACAAAGAATCATCTTCATTCCCAACCTATCGATTCCAAACTAATTATAACCCTAATTAATTACTAAAGAATCATCTTCATCCAACCTATCGATTCAATTCCCAACCTAATTCATATTCCCAACTAATTAATTATAACCCCTAATTAATTAAGAAGAATCATCTTCATTCCCAACCTATCGATTCCAAACTAATATAACCCCTAATTAATTACTAAAGAATCATCTTCATTCCCACCTATCGATTCCAAACTAATTATAACCCCTAATAATTACTAAAGAATCTTCATTCCCAACCTATCATTAAACTAATTATAACCCTAATTAACTAAAGAATCATCTTCATTCCCAACCTATCGATTCCAAATTAATTACTGATCCAAACCCTAATTAATACAAAGAATCCTTCGATTCCAAACTAATTATAACCCCTAATTAATTACTAAAGAATCTTCATCTAATCGATTCTAATCTAATATTAGAATCATCTATTCCATATCGATTCCAACTAATTATAACCCCTAATTAATTACAAAGAATCATCTTCATTCCCAACCTATCGATTCCAAACTAATTATAACCCCTAATTAATTACTAAAGAATCATCTCATTCCAACCTATCGATTCCAAACTAATTATAACCCTAATTAATTACTAAAGAATCATCTTCATTCCCAACCTATCGATTCCAACTAATTATAACCCCTAATTAATTACTAAAGAATCATCTTCATTCCCAACCTATCGATTCCAAACTAATTATAACCCCTAATTAATTACGAAAGAATCATCTTCATCCCCAACCTATCGATTCCAAACTAATTATAACCCCTAATTAATTACTAAAGAATCATCTTCATTCCCAACCTATCGATTCCAAACTAATTATAACCCCTAATTAAACTTACCAAAGAATCATCTTCATTCCCAACCTATCGATTCCAACTAATATATACCCTAATTAATGTACTAAATGAATCATCTTCATTTTTCCAACCTATCCGATCCAANCATAATAATTATGTATATAATGTATATTATGTCATACGATATATATTATAATACTATTTATAGTATTATATAATATATATAGTTTGTAGTGTGGGTGATGTGTAATGTGAAATGATGTGGTGTGGTGACAGTGTAGTTGATGTGTGTCTTTGTGTGATGTGTGGTGTCGTGTGTGTCGTGTGTAGCGTGTGTGTGCTGTGTGTACACTCGACACACTCGAGCAACAACACACACACTGCAGCATTTTGGTGTAACGTTTCCTCTGCAGCACACACTTTTACAGAACGGATTTTCACTCTGGTCCTCGGAAGACACATCTAGCTCCATCGATCAGTACTTGTGATTACCTTTATTGATCTCTTCCAAGAGTAGCACTCGAAATGACCATTAACAGGGAAAATCCACAACAATACAGTTTAAAAAAATATTTGTGTTGTGCCTAGTGTGTAAACTCTATAATCTGTAATGTAATACAGATAGGAATAATTTAAACATATATCAAGAGAAAAGTGTGTGTCACTTTTGATTTTATTATAT